GCTCTCCTAAAAGCCATCCTCCGCCGTGGACGAGTTCTAATGGCTAAGCGTATCTTCAATTCCATGAACCGCGAAGGTGTACCGCCGGCTCTCTCCACATACAACATTCTTATCTGGGGCTTTTGCCTCTCGATGAAAATGGAGACGGCGAAGCGATTCTTTTCTGAAATGAAAGAGAGGGGATTTTCGCGGGATATTGTCACCTACAATACCCTTCTTAATGGCTGGGTGCGGGCGAAGAAGATGGACGAGGCACAGAAGGTTTTTGATGAAATTGTTGCTGCTGGTCTAGTTTGCAATTCGGTTACCTACAACCTTATGATCAAAGGACATGTGTCTTGTGGAAATGTGGATGATGGAATCCAGTTGTTTGATGAAATGAAGTCTAAGGAGCTGACAACCACTGAAAGGACATATGCTGCTCTGATGCCTGGTCTCTGTGATGATGTGAACAGGACTGCAGCTGCCCTGAAGGTTTGCAAAGAAATGGCTGAGATGAGGATTAATCCCAGGGACAAGTCCATATTTTTTAGATTGATCACAACAATGTGTAGGGCTGGGGACTTGGGTGGTGCATTGGATTTGCACCGCTTGATGGATCAGTTTCAGGTTCTTTTAGATTCTAGGCATTACAGTATATTGATTGAGAGTCTCTGCAATGATGCCAAGTTTGACCAGGCGATTGAAATGCTTGACGAACTCCTTGAGAAGGGCATCTTGTTGGGTCTTCAAAGTTTGCCTATAGAAGCCTCTGCATACAATCCAATAATTGATTACTTAAGCTGCCATGGCCATACTTTGAAGGCAGATACATTCTTTAGGCAGCTGATGAAAAGAGGAGTTGATGATAAGATTGCATTTAATCATTTGATTCGTGGACATGCCAAGGAGGGGAACCCTGAGCTTGCATTTGAAGTCCTCAAAATCATGAACCGTCGTGGTGTTGAATCGGATGCTGATGCTTATGAGCTTCTTATATATAGTTTCTTGAAGAAGAGTGAGCCTGCTGATGCTAAGACTGTTTTGGATAGCATGGTTGAATATGGGCATCTACCTAGCCCGGCTTTGTTTCGATCAGTAATGGTTGCACTATTTGATGATGGGAGAATCCAGACAGCAAGCCGAGTGATGAAGATTATGATAGAGAAGGAAGTGAAGGAGAATCAGGACATTGCACAAAAGATCATAGAAGCTCTCCTCATCAGAGGACACATTGAAGAAGCTATCGGCCGCATCAATTTGATGATTATGAATGGCTGCATGCCTGATTTGGATAGTCTGGTAGTCTACCTGTGTGAAAATAAACATCCAATTGCAGCACTCAAGCTTGTAGAATTTGTATTGGAGAGAGACTATGATATCAGCTTCTCAAGCTATGACCGTTTGCTTGATGCTCTCTATATTGCTGATAAGATACTACCAGCATACTCTATACTTTGCAAGATCAAAGCCAAAGGTGGGGCAGTGGATAAAAAGGGTTCTGAGACGCTCATTAAGACGTTGAACGCCCAGGGGCACACAAAGCAGGCGGATATTCTCTCAAGAATTCTCTCAGGAAACACTGTTCTTGAGAAGAAGAGGAGAATGCCAGCCTAGGCCTACTTAAAATTTGAATCCACGTTTCTTTCCTGGAACATGAACTTGCAATGCAACATAAGAATGAGTTCATCAAACCCTCTCCATGCCTGACGTTGATGGGTTCCTCGTGCATTGGTGGCCACGAGTGAGAGTATACTGTGCTTGAGTGCCTCAAGCCTTGTGCTCTGGGCAATTGTTTATGCCTCTACGAAGGGGACTTGTGCTCTGGGCAATTTTTTTTCCGGAAAAGTAATTCCTTGACATTTTATTGTTTTTTTATCTTTGCTTCCACATGCTGTTTAGACTGTATTAAATTGTTTTAGAAATTATGATGTCACTCCATTTTTCTCAATTGCCTTTTATTTTTTTAAATTTTAATTTAATTGTCTTAGGGTCTGTTTGGGACAGCTGCAGCTTATCCAGTTTCTGCTGATAAGCAGCTTATCATGATAATCTGCTGATGAGCAGCTGATCCGGATAAGTTGTCTTGCATCTTCATTCTCAATCAAGACAACAAGAATACACTATAACCAAGCAAAAATATTTAACGAACAAACGTGAATATAGACCAATTGAGGGAAAAAAAAAATTAACTTTGCTAAAGATTTACCCAATGAGAAAAACAAAACCAATAGAGCTTCAAACTCTCAGACACGCAACGAATGAAACAACCAGCAAAGGCCCGACAACAGAAATTCCAACAAAACTTCATAACCTCAAACTCTTCTTTCAAAAATACACATGAATATAACTACCATCATTCCTTAAACTTTCATATTTGCATATGCATATAACCATCATGAATGTAAACACATAATAATTGTGTGTTAGGTTTGTACATTTCCCTTAACTTTATAGAAAATCGTTACATTGTAAGCTAATATATATTCTCTCATATGTCTGAATTCTCTTATTAATGCAGGCAAATTGAAAAAAAAAAATGTCATCCAAAGATGGTCTAAATGCCAAATTAAAGCATAAGACCTATCTTGATTTGAAGTTATGGGCGATGATTGGCATCAGTTGTGTTGCTTTGTTAATATTTGTTCTAATTGTCCTATCCATATTTTTAAACAGGAGGAAATCAAAGATGAAGCATCTGCGCTTGCCTACCATGACAAGGATTCTAGAAAACACAACACAAGCTCAAAAAATGCCTAACATTGAAATCCCTAAATGCAAAACTACAAAAAATGCAGTTTCTAAACAGAAAAGACACATAAACTGATACAATAAAGCAATCTAGGAAGAAAAACAAAGAGAAGAAATGTTCACAACAAGGAAAATAAAACGGCAAAAAAAAAAAACAAAAACAAAACAAACCTTTTTTTATGCTTGGAAAGGGATATTTTGATGACCCTTTTTCGCTTTGTGATGAAAGAGATGCGGATCAAACAAGACAGTTCGCGGTGGAGCAAACATCAGATATAGTGTTACATAGAGGTAAATGAAAGTAGACAACACGAAAAGATGGAGGGATGCTCAGCTGACACTGCCTCAACCCCATCTTCCCCACTATCTCTCATGCCCAAAACCTACAAACCATCGCAATTGTTACCTGGCCTTTTCTCGTTGTAGGCGAGGGATCATCGACATTGTCTCGCTTGGGGTCGTCGCTTCCGCATTCTGCACCCTCAAAATCCACGGAAAGCTTCTGGATCGCAACCTGCTAGGGTTTCGCGGAGGGCGGTGGTCTCTGGTAGCTTGCGAGCGGGGGAGGAGACGCGAGGGACGGGGCACCAAAGATCGGTGGTCTCTTGCGAGCGAGGGAGTAAGCAAGGGAGAAGACGCAGGGCGGGGCACCAAAGGAAATAAGCAATGGAAAACGAGGCCCGTGGGGGTCATACCGTGCGCCGCGTCTTTCACAAAATTAAAACGCAGTTTTTAGGCGTGCACGTGAAACGTGCGAACCAAACGCAAGGACAGCATTTTCAAAACGTCATCCGCAGTTTTAAGCTGCCCCAAACAGACCCTTAATCTCTTTCTTTTATTACAGAGCAATCTACTATTTTGAATATATATTTATTTTCTACTTAATAGTAGCTATCTTATTAACTACTAATTTGATTTTGGCTTAATACTTTATTGTAATTACAAAATTTAAAATATATGAATTATAGGATAATTGCAAATAATTTTTTATTTTTGGATATATAATAAAGTTTAACTGTTTGTTATAAAAATTTATTATTTTAAATAAACTTAATTTAAATATTAAATCCTATCTTTATGAACACTTAGGGCTGATGAGATTTAAGGTACCAAGATTTAGTAAATCATGTAAATTCAAATATAGTATAAATTATTTAATTATTAATAAAAAGTTCATTAAGTTAAATAAAAGTTTAACATTCATAAAAGAGTAATGAATTTTTTATTAATTTTATTAATTAGTTATTTTTTAGGAGTTTATTGAATGATTAAGAAATTAATATTTATCTTTTATTAACTACTAATTAAATAATAAATATAAATCTATTTAATTATAATTAATCAGATATTATTTTAATTAATTATTAATTATTAATCAATTAATTTAATAAAATTAACTTAAACATAATTAAACTAATAAAACCCTCGGCCACATTTTTCTCTTCCTGAAACCGTCGCATTTTGCTCTCTCCTCTTTGTTTTGTTTGAAAAAATATTAGGTCAAGAGTCCTAATGCATTAGGACTCCAATGGTGGGGCGCCACGTGTAAAGTGACCCTCAAAAAAATGTATTACGGTGAGGTCATTTGACACGTGACACCCCACCATTGAAGTCCTAATGCATTAGGATTATTGACCTAACATTTTTTCATTTTTTCCAAAACCAATCACATTCGTGACGAACCCTGGCGATACAGTCACAATTGGAGATAGCTGGTAACACAGCAACGGGTTCATATCTTTTTCAGTGACCAGAAACTCTCATTTTTCTCCTTCCGCTCCTCTTCTATCTGAGACCAAAGAGGAAGGTAACTTCACTGCTTCTCCTTCGTAGAAGCGTCCGTATCGGAAGTTTTAAATCCATTGATTCATGGGTTTTAATTAATCATGAATTTAAGGCCAAAATCGGTGAAATCCGAATTTATCTAATCTGGGGTTTTATTTCATCCAAAATGACTGTCAGGTGTGATTTAGGTTAAATCCAGCTTAAATCCTGTTCTAAATCGGTTACCAGACAGGCTCTTATAAATATGCATGAAATAGAATAAATTAAACTCTTATAAATATATATGAAAAAATAGACTTGTTATTATGCATCGCCTAATGTGCGTGCATTGATTCTCGTAAGAAATAAGCTTTCTATTGATTTCCAGGAGTTGGTTTCAGTTTGTTCTAATTTCTGGAAGTATGGAAAGAAAATTGAGAAAGAAATAAAGAGAGGAGACAGTTTTGTTTTTTCTTTTTAATGAAATATTATTTTAATGCAGTAGGAGCGTTGGGGTGCCATGAATATTAACAGCTTTTTATGGACATTTGGGAAGGTACACTGTTGTAAACTTTAAACTTAGCGCCTGTTTGAGGCAGCCTATTCGGGTGCGACCGCCGTACTATTTGGAAAAGGCTTTGGTGAGAGTTTTCATGCCGCACGAAAACGCTTTCTTTTATTTCGTAATAGGGAGGCGACGCGGGGGCATAGCTACGTTCGGCGTCCGCGGCTGGCATTTAGGGAAAAAATTCCTCCCGTGCCCTTCGGTGATCTCTCTTGCGCTCTCCGTCGCCATCTCTCTTCTCGATCTCCTCCCTCAAGAACATCGATTCGATTGTTGCTCTGGTGAGATCTATGTATTGCTATGCTTATTTTTGGTTCAATTTTGGATGCGTGAGGAATGCTTGTCTTTCTCACGTTTTGGCAATATTTGATTGATGCTGTAAATAGGGTTTTCTTGATGATGATTTTGTTGGATTATTTTGGAATGCATTGGATTATTTTGGAATGCATTGGATTATTTTGGTATGCATTAGAAAATGGTCTGATCTGTGTTGTTGTGCACTTTAGATTGTTTTTTGGATGGTGATATTCTAACTAGTGTCCTCTTATCGTGTCCTGAAATTGATTTGAATGGGACAAGTTCTATTATCGTGGATGATTGCTGCAATGGTGTTTTGAAATTGACTGGGATTCTCTAATTTAACTTGTTGTTCAGGATATGGATTGCTCTATTTATTTTAATAAGTTACATTTTTGGGGGAAGTTTGATTGGGGTAAATCTATTCAATGCAAACGAATCCCTTATATCGTTATGTAGTTTCTTTGGTGAATTGTGGACTAACATCTTTGGTGTCTAGCCATTAATAAAATGAACATTATTGCGTGCTTAGCAACACAGATCAAATAACATTATAATATTATGTTAGTCCCCCAAAGCATTTAACTTGAGAGATAAATTTGAGGGAGTTACCCGATAAAAGTTTTATCTCTTACTGAGCTATGTTAATTACCGTCCAGGTACATAACAAGTTTCATTTTTCTTTTCTCCGAAGCATGACATTTTTTCATGCATGGATAACAGAAAGTGGCAGTAAATAGTCGGTAAAAGCAGGAAAAAGTAAAGGCAGGATTAGTAAGAAAAGAAAAAAACATTTATTTGAATTTGCTATGCAAAGATGTTTCTTTGAAGAAGGCCTTTAATCTTATAAAGAGCTAGTTCATTTTAAGAAAAAAACTATTTATAAAAAGCTAGTTCATACATATTGGACAGTTTATTTCCCTGCATGATTGAGAAAAAGCTGTTCAAATTTACAATGGTTGCCCTATTGGCCGCCAAAGCTAATGTGGGTGGAAAGCTTTGAACTAGGAAGAAGGCACTAGCAATTGTTATAGCATTTCTTTCAAAATATCCCATCTTTTCCTCTATGCGATGACATTATGCTCGACTGTTTTATGTTGTTGTATGTTTTAAGCTTTTTAAGTACCTTGTCATCTTAATTGGGATTGAAATTCTTTATGAAATCTTTCGAAATCCAAATGTTGGAAATGAAAGGGAGTGATGTGATTGTTCCATTTCCATTTTAAGCCCTTAATTTCTTAAATGGTTAGCCTTGATGGGGAAGTTCTCTCTCGCTTTCCTCGGGTTGCACATGTGCTTCTTTTAGGGGAAGCCATTATACTACTGATTGTTGGGAATTTGTATTTCTGATTTAAATAGCTGTTGAATTTTATGGTGAAGAGGATTCATTGCAACATTTTGCTCTCTTATAACTAGATGATTAAGGTGCAAACATTATTCTGTGCTTATTAATGGCATTTATTATGGTTTTTATCTTTACCTAGAGTTTTACAAAGCTCTGAATTCTGCAAAGTTTCAAATTGTTATTTTTTTAAACTATATGGTGGGCCTTGATGGGGAATATGTCTCTTTATTTCCTCAGGTTGGACAAGTACATTCATATAGTGGAAGCCATTATAC